CCTATACCAGTCTATACTGTACATGCGTCATATGTGCAATTGACAATTTAATGTTCTTTTTCTGCATATAGAAACTAACAAAAATGATGAGATATTTATAGTATATTAACATGAAATTTGTTCAAATAAAATGATTACATACATTAAATATTTATTTATATATAAATTTATTTTTAGAGACAAGAAGTTGAAGCTGAAGGAGAAAATTTCGCTGATTTGCCAACTACTAATTTAACAGATTATTTACAACTTGATCTTTACTTAAGCCGTATAAGATATTTATTAGATAATAACATCGGTCGTTATGTCAGTAGAGAACGAATATGTACAATAATTGACAAACTTTTTGCGGATGTAAAATTTAAACATAGCACTAAAAAACGGAACAGGAATAGATCTAATCCTAAATTGACAGCTAAAATTAAAAGAGATAATAAGAAAATGAAAAATCTAAAAAAGAAGAAAAAGTAGTAATACTAAAGGATAAGTATATCTTGTATATTCATTATATTATATTTTGTTAAAACTAATTTTTTTTGCCTCATAATTCAACTAATATTTTGTAAATTCATTTTATAAATATATTTTATATTTATATTTATAACTTGGCATTTATTATTAAACAACAATAATATGTAACTATTCATTATATGTTTATTTTAATTTTAATGTCTTGTTACATTTTTGAACATTTTTTAGAATTTCATTATTATTCACACATTAATAAATAATTTTTTCATAAATTTATATATATCAGGGATGGCCACTAACCTTAACTCTGAGAACCACAAATTTATAAAGCTAATGCAAGGTGAGCCATATTGTAAAGCAATGTTTATAAAATGAAGTCATATTTTGGCTACACATACTAAAAGCACCGCCGCCTTGCCAATCTATACCTAATTACAGCTTTACTGATAACGAAACCAACGGTTGTAAAAATACTATTTAATATTTCTAAGGATTCTAACAAAGTCTTATATTTATTAATTTTAGTCTAAATTTGGTTCAATAGCCGTACAAAACTGATTTAAGATTCGCATGTGGCTCACGAGCTTCGTTGTGGCTACTCCTAATATTTACATGTGTATGTGTATTTATGTACAGATTATATACACGTTATTTGAGAGTAAGAAATGCAATTTTTATAAATAACAATTTATAAATACTTCCGAAGAACTGAAAACATTAAGCATACTATTTCATTAATTTACTTAAGCTGAAATTGACGTACGTTTTCCTTATATTACAGACAAGAACATGTTTTTTCATAAATACCATTTGAATTTATAATTTCTTTCTAGTATACATTTTCATATAGCAACCAATTTAAATAATTATATGTTGAGATCTGCCTAATGATAATCTATGTTTACTAAAGTATTATGTGCAAACTTAGAAACCTAGCAATTATGATTTATAGCTTTAATGTCTACTGTGTTACTGTGCATTTCTAAAATTAAAATCATTGACTTAGTCAACATAATCATATTATGTATAATAACAAAAAAAATAAGCTCTACTAAATCATTATGTTTAAAAAACTGTTAAGTGATATAAAATGAGGATTGTATACATTTTATGAACATTTATTATATGATAGATTTGTTTAATAAACACGTCCAATTTTACCTGAACTATTTAACTATTTTACCTCTGTATATTATTTTTATTGTTCTAATAGATGGCAAATAAGACCAAAATTCACACTCGTTTTATTTTTTGGTATGCTATATAATATTTGTAGGGATTAATTGCATATTTTTACTCATTTGTTTAGCTTAACGGTTTAAAGCAATAGGGATTACTTTTCACAGCAATGAACAGATTGGAGACAACAGCTTTGTTTCAAACCCTAGATTATGTACACTATTTATTATTATTAGTATTATATAGTTTATGTTTTTAACGCAGCTATCTTATGCCGCTTGACTGGTGCTAACAATTCTCAATTTTCTCCTTGTGATATTGCTAAGATATATAAGCATTAACAAAGCTTTTACCCGAAAAAAAACAACATTTATTGAAATATTAATTAGATATTTTACCCATAACATTTTAAAAATAATATTTAAATCATATAAATATGATATATATATGTATATATGTATCAGCTATTTGATGTTCTAACATATAGTAACAATCAATTTGAGTTGCTGAACAAGTTTTTAGTAAAATTATTGAACAGCTATTATAATATATTAATATCAAGTATCAAGTCCAATAATGGTATCTAAAATTAAATGAGAAAATATGAAAAATAAAGAAAATAAAGTTATCATGTTACAGATAGGTTTTGTTGTTTGAAAGCTATGTATCCTTTGAAAGTCCTAATGGAGAATTTTAATATTATAATACAATGAATAAATAATATACCTATTAAATAAATCAATTTATGTGTACATTGTGCAAATCGATCATGTAAAGTTAATCTTATAAAAATCATTTTTTTTAATATGCACTTATCTTATCAACCGATGTTTTGTACATCAGAAATATATTTGTACTATATTCCTTAGCATTATAATTTAAAACTTAATCTTGTGTTAATTAGTCACTAAATATATGTTTCTCATAACTCGAAATCTATTATTTATTGTTCATTCGTTTGGTTAGACACAGTATTAAAAATATTTTAAAAATTCAAAAAATGTTATATTTTAATTTATTGAGTGTACATGTTTATAAATTATATTTTATATCTGCAGTATACAAAATAATTTGTTAAAATTTTAAATTTACCAATATCTTAGTAAAGTCGAAAACAATATTATAACTACAGCGGAGTAGAAAACAATAATTACCAAATTAAAACTGACAGTATTTTAAATAAACAAATGTTTAAATAGAAAAACGAAATTGTTATTGACCAGTACGTTACAACGTCAACATTAATATAGAATAACTAATTATAACCCGTAATGTTATTATTGTCAAATATATAAAATTAAAAAAAAAAAACATTATTTTCAATTGTTTAAGACATATCACCAGTAAATAAGAGGTAACTTATTTTAAGTTGTAATTCCGAAATAAGACAAATAAGTACGTTACAATTCATGGTTTATTCATAAATTTTATGTTTTACAGTCATGGCATGCGCAGGAATTTGGTATGGGGGAGACGTCATAAATAAAAATGGGATTATTTGCAATCTTTATTTTTTATTATTACACAAAAAAAATTCAATCTAGATGGAAATTCATCCTTCTGGCTTTAACACTAAATTCATCAATTATTTGTTCTGTAGATAATGGAATGTCTTGATGTATGTTCATTAACGCCTATCCATTTAACCATGACTGCCCATCGTAATTCTTAATACGTTTTTAAACGTTTAAGACCAAAAAAAAAAAGAAAAACACATGTGGAGATATATCAATCATCCCCCTGCGCACACCACTGTTTACGGTAAAAGTACGAATAGCGGTATAACATAGGATACACAAAACAGTTTGGTCATACCCCAAATTATTTTGTAGTTCAGAATTTTGCAAACGAAATTTGGTAAAAGTCCAAAATTTTTTTGAATTCAATTTTTCACAAAAATTATGTGATGTTTTTTCCCTTACTATATATACACTCGTATATAAAAACAATTACTATTATTTATGTATATTAGCATCTACCACATATAGATTGTGATCGACTTTGGGAATTTTCATTTTGACTTTAATAAAAATCATTATCATGGAAGACCTTGACACGTGTACCTACTCATACAATCAATAAATTAGCCAAAAATATACCTACTTATGTGATAAAAGTTGTTATTACTGAACGATGTGTTGTACATACATTTTAATTAACGATACGGAACAGGTTATGATTCATTTAGATGTAAGATGTAAGTGTTTATCCAAAAATGTATTGTGCAATTCGAAATGCCACAACAGTCAAACCTGAACAAATAAATAATTATAACAAATAATTTTACTGTAACATTTAATAATGATATAAATTTGTCACAATATATAATTAGGTCCGACGAGAGGGGGAGCAACTGGGGCTATAGCCCAGGGGCCCGAGCTTCAGAAAAGGCCCGGGGCCTGATCAAGTCCACTACGTCTCGGTCATGGTATCGATCTATTTATGGATCACTAACATGAATCGTGCGATGTAACAAGTCTACAATAAAGTACACTACAATATTGATCTAAAACGTAGATAAATAACATTTTCAAGAAAGACCCTTAGGCTATAAGTAATTATTTTCATTTAGTCTGTGGAATAACTGTGACTGCAATTTCATTATCTCTTTGGTATACACATTTTAAAAGATGACACTGGATGTTAGTGGCAAATTTAATACATCGTGTCAAAAGGGCCTGAATTAATTTGTCCCTGAGGCCCTTGATTTCTCTCTGCGGCCCTGTATATAATAATTAATAATAATATAAATGTGTGTACCTATGAAAATGCTTATAGGTAGTAGCCAACATAGGCGTAGCGAGACTTCGTGATCAGGGTATGCGAGTGTGGTGACGTAAACAACGCACCGCGAATCGTCCAAGTTGTTTACAATATTGTTAGTGGATAAGGGGAAATCCCATGTTCTAGAATATGCAATGATTATCTCGTTAAGGTAATTTCGAGAATGTTCTAGACAATTGACGCCGATATATATATACCGGCTGGTCAGACGCTCATTCAATCAGTCCGTAAGTACAATCCGCGACACACCGTGAATTACACTCGGCGATATATTCGGCAATTCCTCCGCAATTGTAACGCGTATCGATATTTGTACATACATAATTATATAATATAGTATCTATTTTAATTAAATTAAATTGTGAGTGATTTTTATTACTTAAATCCCACACGAGAAAGCTGTAACTATATATGTAAAAAGTGAACTTTCAAAGAATATATATGATATATATAATAGCAACCTCCAAAATAGTAGAATATAAATTGTTGCTTACATAGGTGTTCAGGATATGGAGTTGCCTGTTTACGCCTATAGTAGCTAATATACTTAAATAATAATAATTATTTTTATACACAAGTATAATATATTTAAATAATAATAATTATTTTGTATACAAATATAAAACAAGGGTGGAATATCTCATAATTGGTGGAAAATTTTGGATTTTAATCAAATCTCGTTTGCAAAAGTCTGAATTACAAAATTTATTCGTGGTTTGACCAAACTGTTCTATGTATCCTATGTCTTATCGGTATTCGAACTTGTGCCGTAACATGTACATGAAAATGAGATTAAATAAATCATTACAAACATTTTTACTTAAAAATAATTAAGAACACTAAAAAATAATCATGAACAAATAAATATTATTAAATGTAATCTTGTAACCCATAGGCGTAAACTGGGAGAATAAGGGGGACAATTGCCACCCTAGAAAAAGTTAGGAGGGTCAGTGCCCCCCTTTGATATTTAACATACCTTGTTTTAAAATGAGTACAAAACAGCTATAGGTTATAGCTATTATTATAATTTTTTTTTTTTTAAATCTTAATTTTAAATTTTCGCTTATCTAACATGGTGTTAGAAAATAAATAATTTTATATAACAATATGTAGGTAGTAAAGCGGCGTTTAGTCTCGGATACCTTTTTCATTAGATATGTAATTATATTTTTGCCCCCCCCCTCCTAATAAATAAATTGTCGCACGGTAAAATAATTGCCAGCCTAAGGGTACCATTATTTTTGACTACCTATCATTACATTTTTCAGGTAACTGTTAGGAGTAATTAGTTATAGTATAAGTATAAATGGCATGGAATAGATCATTTAAAAAAAAAACTACTCAAAAATATTATAAATCAATTATTTACAGAAATTATTAATTTTTATTATATAAATATTTTATTGTCTTGAATTAATTTGTATTTATTTTATGTATTCAATGCAGTGCTCTCAAGTTTCAAACATACGAGTATTTTGCTTAAAAACTTTAGGATGATATGAAATAAAATATTTTTATAAATCATAATTCGACAATAGGATTGACCAGTATTGAGCACATGAATATAAATCCGTTATAAATAAAAAAATATTTTGATTTTAAATTGAATTCGATCCCCAATTATAAAAAATAGGGTATTTTAACATTGAATAACAATCAGCATACAAATAAAGTAAGACAATGTGAAATTTTCTCCGTGAATTTAAATGTTCGGATTATTATAATCCATGCAAACAAATCCGGTGTTTGTGTATCTGAAATAAATGGTTCGTTTCCCTGGGGATGATTCCCGGAAGCAAGAGAAAAGCGCGCGCTACGCTCTACCATATTAATGGAGTGTTTAAAAATTAGGGCTCAGTTGTTGGGGTTTCGTGGGTGTTAACATACCCCATTAGTCATATACGCGTTGCTGTATGGCTCACGCACCCTTATCAAACTGTAGCACCATCGAAGGGGTGGATGACTTCATAATAGAATTACGACCCCCGGGCTATATAAAGAAAGATATGGTGCTCGTAAAAAAAAGTACAGCTTTTAAATTGCAAAAATCAACCGCAGGAACAGATATGATTAATGGGAAAGCAGTGGAGTGGTGCGGGTAGACCGCTAATAAAAAATATAGAAAAAAACAGAACACGCTGTGTTGTAATTACAGTATCCGAATGCCCCAAACTACGCTGTACAGGATAAGCTACGACGGATACGCGTTTGCTCTTACTAAGTTTAGTACTGGTATATTTCATCTGACACAAACAGCCGTCGCTCGGGTATGATTTCGCTGTCTTGATCAGGACTTTTTAAACTGTGGGCCGCGGACCCCTAAGGCGCCATGAAATATCAGTTAAGGACGGCTTCCGTCTCACATAAACCCTACAGCCGTCTAGACTTACGATACGCCACCGTGAAGTTGGCATTTCCAGGCTGAAATTCTATTTCATTAGGTACGACTATGTTTGTGATGTATTCGGTTCGAAACCGTACGTAAAGCTAAAACACTAAACTTTTCGAAGAAATTTTAAGAACGTAGCATGTTCGTAGTATTAAAAAACCGTAAACGGATTACGCTTAATAAAAATCACCCGAGATTTAACGTTAAGATTTAGCGGTAATCGTTTTCGGTCGTACCAAACGTATTCGTCGAGTTTGTAACTTATATTATTGTTTTTGCAACGCGCAAAAGTATCTTTACACTGAAATTGGTAACTCGGTGCGTTCAAACCGGTACAAACGATAATTCATGTAACACAGGCAATTGAAAACATGTGTGTACGCGTATTTGATCCAGTGGCGGCTCGAGCTATGGTGCACAAGAGCTAGTGTAAGTGTAGTCTTTTAACTAGTGTCTATTAAATAATTAACGGAGCATGTCATAGGCGCGACTAGGGGGGCGTAATAGGGTTTTTAGTACCCCTGAGTTAAAATTTAGCATTCCTTTTTTTTTTCTTCAGATATATGTATCTATATAATCTATAGTGATTACAGGTAAATACCATTTTACTTTATTTTAGCAATTTCAGCACTCCCCAATGTTTGAGCTCTAGTTGCGCCCATGGAACACGCATTCGTTGTGCTCCGGGCGGCTATGCGAAAATTAACCAAATGCGCAGACACGTCGATTAGTGATACACGATCGATTGGAGCACAATCAATGTGTGCACCAGACTTATTTTTTCGGTCCGCGTATCGAAACAAGATTTTCTGTTCATGTATCACGTACATAGTTATTTTTTCCAATTTATTTTTATTTTACCGTGACAAAACTAGCTTATAGAGCATAAAAAAAATTGTAATTAATACGTTATATGTACATATATTTATGACAAAATAAACAATTTTTTACTCGTCTTCATAGGCAATCTTACTAATTATTTGCGCACCAACACGGCGAATCTCACGAGCCACCACTGATTTGATCGCAACCAACGCACACGCCGAAGACACAACGATAATACAACAATACTAGTACGTTGGAGGGTAATAAAACAGTCATTAATAATGGACGATGAAAAAATAAAACTTTATTACGGGCGGCCTTTGGCGAATTACATGTTGTATAATTGACCAATTGTAATAATACCAATTGCAATAATACCAAATGTATGTTGCAATATTTATTTGACCAAAAGCTTGAGTTCGTCTCGTTTCAGTTTACCAGCCGGAGACCGGGGTATGTCTTCTACGAATATCACACCACCGCGCAGTTGTTCGTGTTCGTCTACCCTATCTAAAAAAAAAAAAAAATTAAAAAAATATTGAAACCACTTATTTCGATGTTCGAGAAACTTTTTTACTGTCTCATCTTACCATTAACGTAAGACACTAGTTGGTCGGGTTTGATTTGCTGATCTTGTTTGACCTTTACGACTCCTATAACCAAATCGCCGTGAAAACTGTCTCTACTCGTCACCCCTGCGTCAAGTACGGCCGGATGACTTAGCAAAGCAGTTTCAATATCAATCGGTGATATCTGTAAACGAAGAAATATTCTACTTTATAAGACCATGGAGTCAAGTGCATCAAACATACATTTAAACTATATTTTATAGCAATTTATTCGTGTAGTAAAATAATAAAAGCTTTTTTTTTTTTTTTACAAGAAATTTGTTTAATTTAAAATATACCTATTCATGGGTTTTGGTTAATTGTAACAAAAAATGTGTACAAAGTTAAATTATGAAAATCGAACTCTTCTAAAGTAAGAACAACATTTTGATTTGATAAAATATATTCAATATCTATTTTTACTACACCCGGTAGTACAACCGAAAAAAATTTTATAGGATAATATAATATCTCAACAATTTGCTTGAAATCTAATAAAAAAATTTTAAATTACGTTGAAAGTCAGAAAAATAATGTATTAAATCAATTAAATGAAAACAATTGTAATTTTAATCCATTTTCTTACCCTAATATCCTTATAAATCATTAATTCTTTTATTCGACCGACGATGAACAAACAACCATCGTTCGTGTAATACCCAACGTCACCGCTTTTGAACCATCCGTCCTCGTCATAGGAATTCACTGTTTTCTTCATATCGTAAGCGTAACCGATCATGTTGGACACTGATTTAATACGAATCTCGCCTTCTTTATTAGGACCCATACTTTCACCGGTTACTAAATCGACAATCTAAAATATTTCGTTAACAAAACTGAACAAAATTCAGCTTTCTGCTTAAAAAATTAAAAATACCTCTGCTTACTTTAAATTTCACCCCAGCTGCTGGTTTTCCAACGGATCCGTCAACAACAGTATTAATATCTGATTTCATTGACCAAAGCGCTAGGATTCCCTGTTCCGAAGCCCCGTACCCTTGCTTGATCGGTATCCTTCCCTGCAGTAAATTCTCAGTAATCATCTTTTGTAACTTGGGACGCATTGGAGATCCACCGACGACGAATGTGATCAAGCTTTCAATATTATATTTGTGACCATTCGTCATCTGGTATGACATCATATCATTGGCCGCGGCTACTCCAGTCATTAAAAACGTAGGCTGTAAATACACATTTATATTTAAATTATTTTACAATAAACCTTATTTTGGTAACATAAATGTACGTATTTAATTGTATAATATATGATTAGAGTTTGTTAAATTAAATAATATATGATAAGCGATAAGATAAAATAATATCCCCACATCCATTATATGTAATATATATATATTTGTCAAACACTACTACTACACTGACTATACTCTTCTGTGGACCAGTTAGCCGATGACGTTAACCTGTGAGTATGTTTTATAAATTTTCCCTAATCAATTAATAACTATTATAAATACACTTATATCAAATTTATTTGAAAACACATAGAGTATGTCAAGATTAGTAGCGATTACTGTTCCCCTAGGCTATCTTCTTTATTCGCCTTATATATATAGAAAAAACAAAAATGTAGCTACATACACGCCATATTATATACTTTCCAAACACTGCTCCTGTACTTCTTACCCGGCCCGATTAGTCCAACGCGTAGTTGCTATCCAGAAGAATCACGAACATCGCACTAACCGGTCGGAAGTTCAAAAGTTTAATAATTGGATTGAATCAAAAATTTTAAGACCAACTCAGTGTAAAGTCACGGTTAGTTATTGCTTTTAGGTAAAACTAATTTTAGTATTAACTTACGTTATTTATAGAGCCTTGTACGTACTTTAAACATGTCTATCGCACAAAGTATTTGCTCGGAAGTTGGCTTCGCGGAGAAGAATAATCTGGGCTTACCGGAGTGAACTCCTAGCATCAATAACAATATTCCGGTGTACCAAAACACAGGAGATGTGATCATAAATCTGTTTTCGACCGGCTCCTCCATCAAAGTCCTGTTAAACAAACACCTTGGATTTATGATGCTTAAAATCGATTGGCTAGGTAAGGGGTGATGGGCTGAAATCGCGAGTCGCAAGTTGAAAGGGGCCACAATGTGTTTCGTAATTGTTTAAATATAAAGTACCTACTGTTCTATCAATTAATCGTGGTTGTACTACAATCTACAAAGGTACTATAATTATTTCAATCAATATTTTTTATAAATTACTAAACCCAAATAAAAATATAATAAATAAAAATAATAAAATTAAATTGTTTTTGAGAAACGGCAGAGAGTAATGGTTACCTCCCCCCTCAAGCCTTTTATAATGACAATGATCCGGCCTTGAACACTGTATGCACTGTGTGCACCGTTTGCACTCACATGAACGATATTAGGGCGGCTTTGATGGCGTCATCGGACAGGTGCACACCCTTTGGTACGCCGGTGGTGCCGCTCGAGAAAACCAGTGCGCTCGGCCAGCGCTTGTCGTACGCCGACCTGGTCGGTTGCACGGAAAAGCCGTCGGATCGCACGATATCCGAATAGGCGACGAACCCGACGGTGGTCGCCGTGGAGATCTTCAATTGTGGCCGGTGCTCGATCATGTTCAAGATGTCGGCTATTGCGTGGACGCTGGACGTATTGCAGAACAACACGTCCGGTCTCGACTCGTTAACGAGCGCCGCTAGGGTTTCTGCGTGCAGATAAATTCGCGCGTGATGAAAAAACCGATTAAATATCCGATTAAATATCAGCAGTGCCGGATTTAGCTGGTGGTGCAGGGGTGCAATCAGGGGGGGGAGGAAGGGGGCCGCGAGGGGTGCCCCGGGGGGGGGGGGGCACAAAAATGAAAAATTTTAATAATATACTACAAATATTACAATGTTGTGCATTTTATTTATAATCATTTCAACTTCCTTTTGCGCATTTCGAAGTGAGCGCAATATTTGGTTGCTACGACACTGGGCAAACGCCGTTGTATCTAAAGGGCCTAAAATTGAAACTTTAATTTTAATACATCCGGCACTGAATATCAGCCTTTTAAAACGGAGGCACGGTTACTTTTTTTCAAATTGTAATCCAACGCAGCAACAGTTGCGCCAATCAAAAGTCCCGCCAACAGTACCACTTGTCCTTCATACGAACCGTAGTCCACGCTCATCACTACGTCTCCTCGTCCCAAATTATCGTTGCGAAACGCGGTAGCCATCGCGAAAACGTCTTTTTTCAATTTCGCATACGTGTACTCCGTGCCGGTAATACAGTCGATCTAAATGTACGATGTTTTGTCATCAATCCGTTTACGTGAAACTAAATATGACTAACTGATACTATTACGTTTCATGGGAAAATATCCTGGTCAAATTATTTCCAAAACTAAATATCCCTTAACAAAATATCCCATGAAAACGCACATTTTTCTAAAAATACATGTTGAAATAAATTACATTTAATAATTACATTCATTTCAATCATATCAAACATTTAAAATTACAATAAAAGATTTTAAAGATGAGTGTTACATTAATTTATTACAATTATTTATTTGTATATTATTATATTCAATGTATTATTTATTTAACATTATATAATATAGAAAAATTATGTGCTCTCCGTCTACCGCCCCGCTCTTATTACCCACACATGATCAAAAAAATTTATAATTTATTAGAAATCTACTACGGCACTTTATTTGTTATGTGGTAATTCTAATTTACAAGTTCTTTAAAAACAGAAATAACTTCAGAGATAGGTACAAAAACATATAACGTCCTAGGAATACTTATTGTTTAATTCATTAGACTAAATATTTACTATATAGACTACAAAGAATATTTATATAGACTATGTATTTTTGTTATTAAAATTGAGTATAATGAAATGAAACATTTACGAACTTCAACATAATTTATATACAAGTATATTTCTATGGAAAATTTAATAAATGCCCACTCGAAATCTATTGCTATAGTTTTAGACTTAAAGTTATCAAAATACGTTGTATGTATTTTTTTAATCACAACTTTCATAGTAGAGGGAAATGTTAAGAATTAACTTTTACGTAGGATATATTTAAATTGTTGAGATATTTTGACCGGTTTATTTTTACTGTGATATTTTGACGAGTCACCTTGTATAACATCAATATTGTATTATTTTTCTTACCCCGAAAAGTCCTTTATTGTTCTCCAATTGAACCATAAACATTTCAGCTATTGTTTTATTGTGCATGAAGAGTTTTGGTCCAGAGAGCTGTATACTGACTGCCATTTTGTCCAAATATTCAAAATTTACGAGCAACTGACCTAATACTCGGAACGGGCTACATATTTATACGGTTCCACGTAAAAATAGATAATTTCGATTGCATGTCCAAATGTTGAACCGGTAATTACATATGTACATTCGTATATTACTAATTCGAACTATAATTTATTAATTTTCTAGATCATTATACCGTAAAAAAAAAAACGATACTTTTGAGAGTACGAATTGTTTTACATTCCCATATGAAAATTATCCGAAGGTCAATATTTCTATTTGTCTACGTTAGTAATATATTCTATAAGTATTTTTAATATTATTTTTAACTAATCGTTCTTAATTATGTCTTAGATCTTGGTAATTACAGTTGAAGTCAGTGTAATTTTTGCGATAAAGCAAATACCGGCTTTACATTTTTTTCCTGTGAATATTTGCAAATTAAATATAATTATTGTAAACTAGAAGTATATTAATAGAGTAGATAATTATTAAATATTTAAACTTGTATAGAAGATGAAATATTTAATAATTACCTAAACTTATATAGAAGACTATAATTTTCAGTTGATTTAGTTTTACCATTTCTGCATATATAAAGTCATGAATCGGTTCTTAGTTACAAGCAAATTCATATTATTTTTACACGATACAACGATAATGTATCTAAAAAAAAAAAACGACAGGTCTATAACTGAAGCAACAGATTTTTTTAATATATTAGATTCTTTCATGATTGAAAACATTGTCTGGGATAGATGTTTTGGAGTTTGTACCATTTGTACTAGCTCTATGTCAGGTTGTTATAGTGGTTAACAGACACTCGTTAAAAAAAAAGCCCCTTATGCTGTATGGGATTATTATATTATAACGCAAAGAGAAGCTCTCGCTTCCAAAACTATTAGTCCAAGTCTTGATGAAGTTTTGCTGTCTGCTATTGAAATAGTTAATTTCATCAAAACTCAAACTATGTGTTACTCGTCCCGGTGTTTTGAAAAAATGTGTGAAGACATATGATCTGGGCTTACCTCTCTTTTTTACTATTGCAACTCTCGTAGGTTTTCATAAGTAAATGTGTTAAGAAGAGTATTTGAACATCAAAAAGAACTTTAATTGTTTTCTTCTTAAACAAAAAAAAAAAATTTGAAAAATTTGAAAATTAAGTATTTTTAATAAAACTATCATACTTAAGAGATATTTTTTAAAAACTCAATATATTAAATGTATCTTTACAAGGTAATGAAACCCACATTTTACTGTTGAGTGATAAAATTACTTTTTTTAAAAGTAAATTAGTCTTGTGGAAGAATGAAATGGATAAAGGTGCTTTAAATGACTGTTTCCCCACATTGTATATGTTCCTTCATAAAAATAATTTAAACTTGATAGAATCTGTCAAATTATTATTCATGGAACACTTATCGCTACTTATTGTTCACTTCCAAAATTATTTTCCCGAGGTTATTCCCGAGGTTATTCCCGAGGTATATTGGATTAAAGATCCTTTTACTACTGATCTACCGTTAGAATTAACAATTTTGGAACAAGAAAAACTGATAGACTTATCCTCAGATTCACTAAATCAAATCAAAATTTGCATCATCAACTTTATCAGAATTTTGGATAGCTATGAAGAAGCAGTATCCGATCGTAGCCAATAGAGTTATCAGGATTTTGATTCCATTTGCTTCTTCATACTTATGTGAAACGGGTTTTTTGGCCTTATCAGTTATTAAAACTAAACAAGACCATTGATTAAATATATTTAATCAATAGCAAGACTGAATACCGAAAAGGAAATAAGAATCGCGTTTTCAAAATTTTCGCCAAGATTTGATAATATTATGCAACAAAAACAAGCACAACCGTCCCATTAAATATTAAAATGTTATTATATATTATCTATTATTAATAATTACATGTTTATCATTAAATAACGTTAGATTAAAATGATTAAATAATTTAAATTTGTTTATTTCAAATGTTCGTATAGAAGCCGTAAATTTTATTACAAAATCAAAAGGAGCCGTGGACCCAAAAAGATTAACAACCACTGATCTAGAGGATAATAAGTGTTATATTGATTGGCATGTTTTCGTCTATGTATGTTGGTAACCGATACATAATACGCTTCAATTAAATCAAGGCGAAATAATTATGAATTTTTATACTCAGCACCATAAAAAAGACTGATGATTTCATAATAATATCATACGACACCTACCGGGTAAGTTTAAATAACGGTACGGTGCTCGTAAAAATTATAAAGCACGTAAATTTTGTATTTCAAAAATCGACCAAAAAACAAGAAGTGAAATAACAAATACCACGAATAAAAACGAGAGGAAAAACGGTACGCGTTGCATTGTAATATAACGATTGAAGGCGCTATGGATAGATAACCATATGTATTACCTGTACGTTATGGTACCGATACATTCCAATGCAAAAAAATAAACTATATTATAGTTCGTCGCTTGGGTGCAATTTCGTTTTCTAGGTCATTACGTTTTCGTTGTATGCGTTCGTCTATGACAAACATCACAACATGCATTTGTTTGTTTTACTTTTTAACATACTAATTATTAATAACAAGCCTGTTAGGTATCAGTGACGGTTATATAATTATACGGAAATGTTTATATTGTGCCTCGTAGCACAAGTACTACACAAATTCAACTCGTTAGACCTGGGTTAAGTTGAATAAAATCACGTGGAATTTACTATTTCATAATAATATTCATTTGCATTATATGATGGCTTTAAACATTTGAAATTCCAAAATAAAATAGTAGAACGTTCGAAATGTTTATACTTAATTATCAGAAGGTATGAAATAAAAATGGATACGTTTCACTACTTAGTACTCGCGTTACTTTAAAGGAGTTATTATTCTATTCTATTTATATAAATTTATTGTGTTTAATTGACTTACGTTTATGACTACGTGTACTAATTATACAAGTCTATTAATATTACACGTAACATCATTGGGCCGAGTTGTATTAAATATTCAACTATTCAGCTGACTAACAGTACGTAACGATTAAACTTTAAATACAAGTATTAGTTATTTATACAAACATTCTAGATAAAATGTTTAAAAGAACGACAACATTAACGATTGCACACTAATCGCTAACACATACAATGCGCGTTAAAACGATTTATAATACTTTTTTATAGCACTTTCAGAACTTTTCTGCTCAATGTAGCATTTTAATAATAATTTTTATAATTTAATAATGATCACATTAGGTTAACTAGCTCTTATCAATAGTATGAGTTCACGTAATAATAGTAAAAAATAAACTAATTCTTATGAATTTCATACATTAATTAATATGCATGTTCCTGTAGATGATGGAAAAAAAAATTTATATTCTACAATCCAAATTTATACAGGTAGCTTATTTTTAATTAAGCTGTTTCCAAGTATTGAAATATTTGATAGAAATGTGTCCGTACGCATGCGAATATAAATGTATACCTAAACAAATTTAATTTATTGAAAACAATTTTTGTATACGGTTATTTATAACAGTTAATCTTCATAGTTTTCATATTTCCATAACCAATTTTCATGATACAAGTTCCCATTACATCTGAATAATCTGAATAATATCCATAGCACAAAATATGAAAAAATAAAACTATTATAATTACAAATTAACCTTTAACATCAATATAAATAAATGACATTAGTTTTAAATACGCACTTAGACGTATAAACGGTACGTATGTATTCTGACGTTATTTAACCATTATGATTAAGTATTTTATTCGATTGAATAAATTAGCTTAATCTAGCAATTTCCCTGTGCCTATATATTTATTTAATAATTGCTCTACGTTCGTATGGTCAACGAAGGACAACTAAAAAAAAAAAATGTAGTTCCTTCTGATCATTTTTCGTGTTTTCGATTAAAATATAAACAAATACACATAATATTATATGCATGATATAATGCCGGTCTATAAATAGTCAAATATATTAAGTAATAATATTCATTTTATAGCACATATTCTATATGTTGTATTCACTAATATTACCGATAACTATTCGCGTTCGATTTGCCATCAATATGGTAATATTTAATTTAATTACAAACACGTGAGCTGTAATGTATTGATTCTTCGCAAAACCTTCACACCCAGGATTCATTTCTTTCGTTAGCATGTTGGTTGCACCTTGTACGGCTACAGCAAGCATGTACTACAGGGCAACGAAACATATTCATTTTTTCATTTCTCTGAAGTTCATACCCTTTTAAATTGTTTACTAATATTATATAAAAAATGGTGCACACAACAAATTTCAAGTAACAATCTTAATTTTTACTGTTAGCGCGACCCATCAAAATATATGGTTCATTTGTATTGTGTACAAATAAAAATAAATGTATAAAATTAGTTAAAAGAGTCACAGATTATCATTTAAATCATTCCAAGCATCCATAATTGATCTATCAGAATGTGAATACCACTACCATTGTTGTCCGATTGCTTGTAAAAATCACGGGTTTCGATTTTCCTGGTTGGTGGTAGATCTCAACACCGTACGATGCATTCTACACCAATAACTAACTATAAATGTTTACACGTATGAATAGGTTACACCTATAAATATACACGTATGGATTTAATCTAGTCCGTGACTAGAAAATTTTGAATACACGCACACAAACAACACACACACGACGTACCACGTGCTTAGGATATTTTTAAAAGTTGAACCACCCTTAGTGCACCCAGCTGTATATAAGGATGACTCATTATCGGTTGGCTCGTATATTATTTGTCGCCCGTCGAAGAGCTTACACGTGCAGACAAACTGGCACGTGCGCATGTATTCAACGCTGCCACCGCTGCCGCCGCCGGTGTACATAAAGGACGATTTGCGATAAAAAGCTGTCGTGTCACTGTTATCCGACCACAACTAAACATAAACACACACACACACACACATACACACACACACACTCACAACACATTTGTGTACTTTTCCGATACGAGTCTTTGTACT